GAGCGCAAGCCTCAATATCAGCAGTTTTGGAACATAATGTCACAAGGGATGTGTAACTAATAATAAATTACCAATATTTAGGAATAATTTTTTGTTTAAGTATGAATTAGATAGACTTCAAAGTTATCCATAGAGTAATGCCCCTCCATTCAGCAGCAGTAACATCCCTCTCATGAGTGGAAGAGAAAGAGGGCGGTTGCTTATTAATGTCTGGCAAATGCCTGGAAGAGTCTGGCACGTGTGAACATCTTCCAAGTTGTGTGTGCAACAGAAGAAAAGACAGGAAAGTTGCTTTATGCAGGTCCTGGTTTGCTTCAAAACACAAGTACAAGTAATTTTTGCATATTTTTTGCTTTGTTGAGGGCCTATTAATCAAAGATTAGAATGGTTTCAAGGTATTGGCCCAAATGCCTTTGCCTCCAAAACCTGCATATTGTGGGCCTGTCTTATACACATCACTTTGTTTGTTCTCTCTGGAAAAGCAAATACATGGCAAGACTCATATTAAGAGGCTTTTGCTATATGGAAGGTGTGTGGTTGCTTCTTTTTTTTTTTTTTTGATGAGGAAGATTGTCCCTGAGCTAACATCTGTGCCAATCTTCCTCTATTTTGTATATGGGACGCCACCACAGCATGGCTTGATGAGTGGTGCATAGGTCTGCACCTGGGATCTGAACCCACAAACCCTGGGCCACGAAAGCGCAGTGAGAGAACTCAACCACTATGCCACTGGGCCAGCCCCTCTGATTGCTTTTTAAAGAGTAAGAAGTACCCAAAAGACTTTTTAGAGTGTCCTTTCCCTAGGCATGTGGCAGTGGGAGGTGGTAGTGCTATCAAAGGTGAGTTACAAAGAAAAAAGAAGGACCGTCACCTTCTGAACATCTTTTCAATAAATGTGCCTACCTATAGCCAAAGCAGGATCTGTGGTGAATACTTATTGCCTTGATAAATTCAGATTGTTATTTATGACCAGCACTCGGGAAATGAAAGTGTATCTTAAACAATCCTTGATCATGGTTTTACCTTTGCTTGAGTCAAAAAATAAGTTTGAAAAAAACTGACTGTTAAACTGCCTGGATTTAAATTTCCCTTAACTGCTTTAGAAAAACATTTAGAGAAAAGATTCCAGTTTATTGGTAGATTAAAGTGAGTTTGGGTTGTGTCAATTTTCCTGATGGTTTTGATTGAACAAATGACTTAGTCTGTAATTGACCAACCCTGTAAATCAATTAAAGCCAAGCGGTAATAAGTGAACTAAATTTAAATCCTTAAACCAACTGTAGAGGTGGAACAATCTTTAAGTTTATGAAACAGAGGACATTTTATTTTACTAAAGCAACATGAAACTGAAATTGAGAGCTCAATAAAGTCTAGAAAGCAAGAAATAACTATTTCAGGTGCTAATACTTTACATTGATTTAGCAAATGGAAATCTACCTCTAAGAAAATGGTATCAGAATTTAGAATACCGTAGACCAGGGATAGGAAAACTTTTTCTGCAATGGGCCAAACAGTAAATACTTTAGGTGTTGCAGGCCAGATGGTCTCTGTCACAACTACTTAACTCTGCAGTTATAGTGCAAAAGCAGCCACAGACAATATGTAAACAACTGTGTGGGCCTGTGTTCCAATAAAACTTTATTCGTGGACACTGAATTTGAAATTCATATAATTTTCACATGTCATGAAATATTCTTTTGATGTTTTTTAACCATTTAAAAATGTAAAAACCATTCTTAGCTAATCGGCCTAACAAAAGTAGACAGTAGGCCAGATCTGGCCCACAAACTGTAGGCTGCTGAGCCCTGCCTTAGACTAACGAAGCAGGAGGTGGAAGAGTAAGTTGTGAATTTCAAGACACATCAAGAATGTCAGTGACTCATTCACTCTTCCTTGAAGAGTAGCTATTGAACACAACATCACTTACGTATTATACTTGACAAGAAAGTTTACCCTGAGTTTAATAATGAGGAAAACAAGTGCACATATCCAGATTCCGAGTCATTCTATACCACTGGCCTGGACTCTTGAGAAATGTCAGTTATGAAAGACCAAAGAAAGAAAGACTAAAAGTGCAGGGAAACTGTTCAAGATTAAAAAGACAGGAAAATTGAAAGCAATATGTGCTCTATGTTTGGATCCTGGATTAAAACAAAAGCAACTGTAAAAGGGTATTATTAGGGCATTTGGAGAACTTTGAATATGGTTTATGTGATATGGTATCAATGCTACATTTCCTGGGTGTGAGGATGGTATTACGGACCTGGAGAATAACGACCTTGTTCTTCAGTGGTAGATGCTGAAGCATTTACGGATGAAGTGTTAGGATCTGCAACTTAATTTCAAATGGTTCAATCATACAGAAAAGTGTGTACAGGGAGAGATGAAGCAAATGTGGCAAAATATTATCAATAAATGAACCTGAGTGATGAGTATGCAAATATCATTGTAGTACTCAATTTTTATATAGGTCTGAAATTATTCAAAATAAACATTGGAAAAAGAAGGTATAGAAAAAACAGACCTAATTGTAAATTCAGTTGATTCAAGTTAGAGAAATTTGAAATATAAGAATCACATGGTGCTTAAAAAATCAGGTATTCATTACAATTCTAAAATAATACCAATTTCACTTGGAAGCAAAAATAATTTGACTTGTAAGAAATAGCTGGATCATTTCAGTGTGTTTGGATATTTTTATCTAATTTGTTCCCAGGAATTACAATGGGCTAAAACCTAAGGTGGCTGAACCAAACACAACAAAATCATCAAGCTCAGCTTCTCAAAAGCCCTGAATTTAGATTATTCTGTTGTTGTGTATGATGCATCTTTATTCCGTGACCAGAAATCTGAAATATATTTTTTCTGTAATTAAAATTTTCAAATACAAAAAACACTTCTTCTAATAGTCAGATCCAGATAATTCTGCACACTATTTTGCTCACTACATTTTTGAAAATGTAGAGAAACTAGATAGGAAACTAAATAAACAGGGTCATCATTTAATTTGGAGAAATCACTCTGTTCAAGGACATGAAAGGCACTTTCACAAGAAAAGCTGTAAACCCTTTATAGACAGAGAACATGTTTTAGTTGCCTTTGTGTCTCTGATGCCAAACACAGTGCCTCACACAAGTAGCCACTCTGTGAATGTTTGTTGAATGACTGAATGAGTAAATGAATAAATAAGTGGAGTGGGGGACCCACTTTACATGGAAACAGGTTAGGTATGATGTAAGGAAAAGATTCAAGGTGACTCCGGCAGTAGACTAGGCCACTGAAGGAAGTAATTGATTCTTATTTATTTACTTATTTATTTATTTATTGAAATTTACAATAATAGAATAAACATATATCTTGAATATATTTTTAGAGAAAACTCACCACTTAAATGTTCAGATAGTTTTCTACATGTATGATGATGAAGACAGTTCCTCAATTTCAAGGATTCTGTCTGTTAACATTCAGTCAGGTTGAAATGGATCTGAAAATCATGACATATGAAGAGCAGCTGAGGGAATTGAAGAACAGAAATCATAGCAGCTGGGAGAGGATGAGTAACTGGCCTCAATTATCTTCAGGGTTGCCATGAGAAAGAAAGAAGGGGTAGAAATACTCTGAGCAGCTCATCAGGACAGAACTAGGACCAGTGAGCAAAATTAAGGCAGGGGAGAGGGCACTATGCAGGCTTCAGCAACCTAAGAAAGAACTTTCTAACGTTCTAAAGAGACACGCCCAACAGTGGGACAGCTTGCTTTAACAGATAACGATCCACTGTCACTGGCAGTGTGTAGGCAGAGTTGTTGTGAACATTTGTCAAGGGTGACTGCGGAGGGAGCACCAACACAGAGCAAGAGATTGAGGCTATTCCATCCCTTCCAACCTGAAAAGCATTATTCAATAAGCCCGAAAGTCATTCTACAAATTCGGTGTTAATACTAAGTAGATAATTAATAAACAAAGATTTGCAATACCTCAAGGTCTTCAATGAGCACAGAACAGGTAAATGAAACATCATGGTCAGTATGTTCTTTGAACGTTTTATCAACAGATGCAGACTTGACACTGGTTACTACCCAAGGAAAATTTAGGTTGTCTCAGTGTGTAAAATAATACCATACCTCAACAGAGATCTTGAATGCTCTCAGGTGTTTCAAAGGCTCCAGGATTTGTTCTTTTTCTACATCCCCAGTCACTGTCCCCGTGTCACCTGCTGTCATCTCAAGCCTAGCTTATCTTCTACAGCTGCCTCCTACTGAGACCTCTATCTCTAATCTCTTTTCCTGTAACCATCTTGAACACTGCAACTAGATGTCTCCCTAAAACCCATTTGAACAAGTTACTACCTATTCAGAAGCCTAGAATGATTCCTCAATTCAGAAACACGTAGGGAAAGGATAAGAGGCATAACAATACAGTTATTAAAATGGTAGAATTATAGACTAGTATCTTTTTTTAAGTTCTTGGTGTGGTACTAAAGTTCTAATGATAAATAAAATCAGTGCAAAACAAAGACTCTACAAAGTTTCCTTCCGACCTAACGCATTGCATCCAAAAGCTCCAACTTCACTTTTTAAAGACCCTTCAGCAAGTCTCCCAACTCACCTTTCCTCCTACTACCCCTGCAATAGAGCTGCGTTGTTTCTCTCGTCTAACTCTCTACTGTCTTCTTTCCTTCCTCCTTGTCTCTCGTTGCTGCTTCTCTCTCATGTGCCTTTTTCCGCATGTTTGCTCTTCCTCACCTGCAGGACAGTTGCTGCATCTCATCTGTGTGCTCACTGCGCCATATGTAGGTAAGCCTCCCGAGGGCAGGGCCTTTGTTCATAATTGCATCCCTTGCATCTAGAATAGCGCCTTGCAGATAAGGAACTATCTATTAAGGAACTATCAGTTGAATGAGTGATTGTCATTTCTGTGACTATATGAATCCACAACACTCCTTTTTGAAATTTGATATAAGTTGGTTATATAATATGTGTGGGTTTATATTGTATAACATCTTTTTTCTAGTTCTTTACATGTTTTAGTGTAGGTCTCTCAAAATGAAGAGACAGATGTCATCCATGTTACCTAATTCAATACTCCAATTCAGCAAATTTGTACTGAATACCTACTGTGTGTTAGGCACTTTAGTAGGCTGTACGATAGAAATTAAAAACTGCATTTAACAAGGGTCAGTAAACACCAAATGGAATATTTCTTAGCTAATTTCTTTTACACAAAATAAATACACCAGAAATCTATAGTCTAAATCAAAACAGTAGTCCAATTTTCTATACTTTTCTACCATCTTTCTATCAAACCCATTCAAAAGAATTATATAAAATAAATATAAGACATACTAGATATCTGGAAATCCAACATTAAACCATTAATGAAAAGTAGAAATAAAAAATCTAGAATAAATTTTTATTGGTTTCGGGGAACTGGCATTTAATCATTTGTGTTCCAGGATCTTTATAGTGATCAGAAAGATTTTTAAAATTGTGAAGGCTTCATGTGTCGTCTCTAGTTTAAGTAATTTTAAGCCTTTTATGCAATATGGATATTTTGGAAGCTGCTACATGTTATATTTTTTCCAGAATCAGATGCAATAATTTGGTAAATAACACAGGTAGAAGAGATCACTAATTTTCCTTTTCCCCCAATAAACTATGTTTATTATGCCAATTTTAATTACCATGCAATCTAATGGATTTAAGGCTTATATTTTCCACATCACTAGACATCACAAACATGAAAGCATTTTATACTGTCATTATACATCAATGTTTGTACTTGGTTATACATATATACAGAAATTATTCACACATCTTAACCTTGCTATTTTCCTCCTTTCAAACCAACATAATTTTACTGTGAAAGCAGCTTTTTAATAAATGGTATAAGAAATACAGCAAGGCACACTTTTTTAAAAAACTTGTTTTCTCATTACCACCTCAAGAAGCATAAAAAATGAAAATGTTGTACATAATTTAATAGTAGAATGTCACCAGTTTATAATATACAACACCATATAGTTGTTTCTTGAAGTGCTGCATAGATTATTAAATTTTAAATGAAATAAATAAAACGACGCTTTTACAAGTTGCTTAATTTTGAAAGAAGGACCACTGTTTCTTCTCTTTGCTGCAATCAAATCAAATGTTGGCCTTTTAGATAAACCTCTTGCAATAAACATAGGCATCACACCATAAAAAAAAAAATCCAGATTGAAACATGAAATTGGTCAAGTACTGGCGGGGGGGGGGTCATTCCAGACAGGTGAACTTAATGGACCATCAATTTGGTGAGCTGCGAAACTTGAAAGAGCAGATGGGGAGGGGAGGAGGCCAAGGGGAAAGTCTGGCTGGAGAGAAGGGGGTGGTAGAGGTAGCTTGGGACAGGAGTCCATGGGTGAACAAGCAGCTTTGCTGAACTTCAAAGACAATCACCTAAAGAGAACCAGCGCACACATCCAGGTCACGAGGCTCATGTGGACAAACCGCATTTGGGAGGAAGAGTCATCTTGGGAGAGGTCAGCGTAATGAATGGCAGTGATGTGAGGGAACCAGAGACCAGCCCAGGGTGGGAGGAAGAGGCCACCTCTGAGCAGCCAGGCTTATCTACAAGAAACAAAAAAGGGACAATAAAAGGTTTCAGAAATGTCTGTTTCATTTGCAACACGAGCCCTTTGAGAAACCATCGAAGGCTGCCATTTTGGGACTAACTGATAATGTTCTGAAACAAAAGGAAACACAAAATATACTGATTTTAATAGCTCCAGGTTCACATTACTGAAAAAATGTTTCAGAATCGATGTGAAAAATACATGGATTTTAAAAAGGACATGGTTTTAAAGAAAATAAGAAAAACCATCGTTCGAGCTTTTCTCTGTATCTCGTCCACTCTTTTGCTCGTGAACTCAGTTTTCAACACTTAAGATAGCCTTGAATGAACATGAAAATGTGAGGTTGCCAATGCCAAGCAATGCAGGAAAGTATCAACAGTGATTCACAGATTGGGAACCTGGGCCCTCAGGTTTAACCCTTCCTTTAATGACTGTATGTGTGACAGTGGAATTGAGCAATTCCACCATTATAGTGGTCAAATATTCATAACACGGTGATAATCCCACATGTTTCAGCCCCTTGCCTATAAAAGGATATAACTGGGGTTTCTAGCTCAAATACTAATGCATTTCATTTAAGGTACAGACGGCTTTGTGGAAATGAGAATGATTCAATTGCTTCTGTACATCTGATGGCTCAGATACAAGTTTGTTTCAAACTCAAATCAGTCCTGCCTGCTTCTAAGTGGCTAAAAGCAACCTGTTGAATGTGAGGAACGACTAGATGCCATGTTTAGGCAACGTAGAATGCAGTTACTTTAGGTCCTCTGCCCAGCTCTCAAATAAAGCAGGCTTTTGCTTGTCTGGGTTTAAACTAAGTTCTGAAGTCTGATATCAGGTCGCTTTAATTGTCCTTCTAGAAGTAAATATTCTCATTCTCTCTCTGTCTTGCCTTGTCTTTCTCTATAATCTTGCAACTCGTTTAAGAGCCAGAAAAACTTTAGCAAATGTGGTTTGGCTGAAGCTACAGGAAGTTGGGGAGAGAAGGCAAGTTATCGAGAACAGGAGGAGACAGACAGGAACAGATGGGATGAAATTTGGTACAGTAAAATAAGGCAGAAACTCAAGAAAGAGCATGGTGCATTGTTCAAATGCTGAGGACATGACTCATTTCAAATCTGGCCACTGAGCAGGGAATCCTTAGGTGAGGCAAATCTGGTCTTACTAAATGCTGGCATTTAAATTCTCTCTGCAAAATCAATTCTTTCAACTTGGCCCACTTGGAAAGGGGCAGGCCAAACTGGCTGAGGCACAGATCGGGGGCATGTGTGTGTGTGTGTGTGTGTGCGTGCACGCGCGTGCGTATGTGTCTTGGGTGATGCCCAGGAAAATCTTCACTGTTTAGCATGGCAGGGCTAGTTATTCAGAAGTGCTGGATAATTAAAATATACTTCACATCCGCCAGAACTTTATTAAAGTGATTTTAAAGGTAAATTTGGTAAGATTATACCTGTATTGTTTAGTGAAAAGTTAATACGCTATCACCAAGGGTAGTTTCTTCAATTCGCTTGGCCAGCTTTGGGTCAAATGAAACACTTAGTGTCAATCCACTTGACAGAATAAGAATTTGTGTTGTGTACATGAGAAATGTTTGCTCGTACAGCTTTCTCAGTTTGTAAAAACTGAGCAGCAGCAATTTTTACTGTATATGTGCATACTTGCACATGCATAAATACAAGTAATTGCCTAAAATCTAAATTCTGTGGGCTGCCAACTACCGCATTTGTACACCAATATGGTAGGAAAGGCAACAGAGGTAAAAAGTTCTAAAGGAAATACATAAAATGCCCCTCCCCCCACCCCAGAAAATACACAGTTGAACAAAAACAAAATTGAAAACCACAGCAAAACAAAAGGAAAAGCAAAGTATGCACTGCCTGCATGTGATGAGTTAAATTTTTGTACCACAGGATTTATCCAGCCTGAAGTTTAGGGTTAAATCATTCACCAAAGATCAGAGGCTTATGATGAGGATTATGAGGAAATAACTGTCAGAATACAGCAAAAAGATTAGTGCAAAGTACATCTCTTAGGCAGGTCCTAGGAGGCACTCCAGACATACATTATGTGCTTCCTCCAAATTAGGCAGAAATATCTGGATCTATCCAGTTACCTTTCCTTTGATGTGATTTGCTATAACTGACCTCTCTATTTTTGTAGAAACATGACATATAAATGGAAATAGTGAAAAGCACAGCAGTGTGCCTGGAAATCGGTGCAAACGCATACTGTGTCAGGTCATGTTAAAACTTCTCAAACAGTTTCAGCGGGTTTTTAATTAGAACACAGTAAAGGAAAACATTTTCAAAAGTTTTTGGACAAAATTTTTTGTTACTGTTGTGGGCTGTATCTGCTATTCTAAATTATATCTATTCTAGATGACATCATAATAATTTCATCTGAGAACTTATTTCTGGAAAAAAAATAATAGACCCCAGCGAACTGAATTTGATGAATTTTATTATCCTGGTAAAAAGGGCACCCCAACTGATGGTTTTCAAATGGGTTACAAAAGTAGAGATGTTTCTTTTGCTCTTTTGAGTCTTGTAAGAAGATCAATGACAACAATTAAGTTTTTATAGACATGAAAGCTCATATTTAACAAATAATTTTACTATTTGTTCTGGACACAATACTGAAAGCATGTCAATGTCTCGAGACTAAATAACCTGTCCTGGGTGGTAGTATTTTAACAATATGTAAATATTAGTACCCAGGTACCCAATGCTAATGACTAGTGAAAAATTTAGGCACCCAGATGTTTTGTCTATATGATACTGAAAAAACCGAATAGGACCAGTAGATATGGCTATTTAAATGGCCCTAGGCCGATAACAAGTCACTTGGGGGCGATGTGAGTTCTGCAGAAGTAAAAATTTAGTTGCTTCGGCCATTGCCTGAGTTAGGGCCAAGCACTGCATTGCAGGGGCTCAACAAAATATTGCTGAGTGGCAGGAGGGCTGGCTGATAGTTTTACACCATCCCTGCCTGTAAAATGTGAGGGTTACACAGATCCACCAGCACATGCACTTCCCGCAGTCTAAAGATGGGGCTGCTGATCATTTACATTTCATTTCAATTCTATATCTAGATAAGGAGAGAAGAAATTCCCAGAGTATCGAAAAGCGAGGATTCATCCCAGAGGCCTCACCAGCGCCAGAGCTTCTCGAGCTCTGGATCTCAGCAGGACTGGTGACTTGAGGGTCACAGTCACATGATGTCATGCTCAGAGTGGTGTTGCTTTCAAGCCTTTATCCCCTTTCAGAAAACAAAAATCAGCCAGGCTCTATCAGCCCTTCTGCGGAGGTTGGCAGAGGCAGCAGCACAATTGGTCCTAATAGAACTTGTTTTGAAGCAGCTTATGCAATTGCAGTTACTCTCCGCTAACGGTCAGTTTCACTGCATACTGATGGAGAATATGATTATAGGGTGGACACGTTTCACAGAAAATACATTTCTCTCTCTCCTACTTTGTTCTCACTTGCAGCCAATTGTAAATGGGGTCTGAAACATAGAAAATTAGTCAAGCTATATTAGTAAGTAGGATGCCTTTCTTCCATTTTGCATACTGAGTTTATTTTTAGGGTATATATATGGTATAGATTCCCCCCTCACTCCCCATTTCTAGCAGCTCTACACAGAATCACACATTTTAATGAGCTTAGGGCACAGGTGTTGCAGGAAAAAAAATAATGATGTTTGCCATTCATCTTTCAAATTAAATAATGTGTTTTTAAATAGTAACTTTTTTCATAATACATTATGGGAACAACATTTATCTGTCACATTTTAAAAGATGTATTTGTAATAAATGTAAATTACTTTTAGAAAATCAGTAATTAGGCTCATCAAAAAATAAACAATCTGCCACAAAAAAGATAATCTTTAGCATAGTTAAGTATAATAACTGTTATTTGAATAAGTTAACAAATTAGGGTAGATTGCTTCTGTAATTCATTTCCTATAGCACGAGTTTAGGTTACAGCATTAAGCTTCTGGAGTGGGGGCTGGAGATGGCGTTCAGCACCTATTACTTTGGTGAAATACAACTCTTACATTCAAAAGCTCAAATTTTCTTCTTTAAACTTGATTGAGAAAGTATATTCATCACTGGGGCTTAGAAATAGGAAATAACAGAATTTTTGTGTCACTTCTAGAGCTATATCATCATCTCAGAATTATCAATCAATAGCTGTCTTATTAAATACGAAGAGTGGAATGACTTTCTTAAAAAATTTGATGGAAATCAGCCTGTCACCTTCAGGCAAAATTCAAAAATTCTGTTTTTATCAAAACACCATTAACTTGTCATGTATTCTCTCTGCATTTGCTTTCTGGGCCTGTTCTCAGTCTGTGTGTGGATAAATAAGAGCCTCTCCTTTAACATCAACTTTCCCCTCCTGTTTGAATCCTCAGAGTGGGCCGTGATTAGGAGCTGTGACAGCACAGCCTTCCGCTGGGGAAGCAAATGTGATGATAGTTACATTAGACAGAAGCATAAAGGAAGGCCCAGATCGGGAGAGGCAGGCTTTAACCTAATCACCGTTCATCTCCAGGCACTGAAGGGAGCGGGCAGCGCCGTGTGCAGGAAACTGCAGAGGGGCGTGTGGTCCTCAGGCAGGCCTTTTGATCAGAGGACATAAGGGCAATTTGGAGAACCTTTTTTCCTCCCTCAGTGGAAGAATCTGAGGCCCTAAATTATCCGGCTACTTGCTCAAATTTTGTATTCTTCTTGCTAGAATGACATCATAAAAATAATATCACCAAAAATGTCAATTGTGACTATTTTTTCCTGCTTTGGCTTCACAATTGCTTGCATTGTTGGGAGACTTTTTTCCACCTAAATGTCTTATTCAGGTAAATATCGGCCATGACCAGTTATCCTGACTAGTCTTTTCTCCTAGTATGGCTTTGTTGACTCAACTCATATTTTAGGTATGTATATATTAAATATATACATTAAAATATATTAAACACAAGGACTGTACGTACCTTTCAATGAGATGATTTTCATGCTTGGAGAGGGTTACATTCTACCTATGCATATTTTTATGTCGTTCTTCATGAAGGTTCAGAAGATTTTCTTCACAGGTTAAAGTTTTGGGGTTGGGAGGCAACTCATCCTTGTCTTTTGGCTGCTCTGCCTTCGAGGAGAGTCCTGGAACTCTAGATGGGGCTGAAGCAGCTCTGTGTTCTTCTGGCATTCCAGACTCACCTCGGTTTTCTGAACTCTCCTTTTCACTGCCCAGCCTTGAAGGAGTAGTTAACTCTGAGCTTTCTCCACAGACATTGGAAGCTTGGGGTAAACCATCCACTTCCTTTCCACTGTCAGACCCCTTCTCAGGGGGAGGATGTGAAAGAGCCACTGAGTCTGCATCATGAGCTGAGAGAGACATATCACTGAAATGAGAAGAGCCTGCTGCTGGTAGCGGCATTGCAGCTTCGCCAGGAACTGCAGGTTCATTGGGAGGAACGTTGGAGAAACAGGGCTTGTCTCCATCAGGGTCATCCTCAACACAGGCCTCAAAGAAGCATTCAATATCTTCTTTGTCTTCTAAGCCAGAGTCGGTAACGTCCAGTGGCAATGGAGTGCTGCTCTTCTCCTCTACGTAATTGGTGACCTCCCCACAATCACTGTCATGAGATGAGAGAGAGAGGTAGGAATAAAAGTCCCCTTTTCTCAGCTGGATGGGCCGGTGAGAATGTTCCAACACCTTCTCCTTGATTTGAGTTAATGAAGTAGGAGCAGTCGCCTCATTTTCAGGTTGAGATTTACTTTTTAGGGCTGTTGAGGCCATGTCAATGATTTCCTTAACAAAGTCGTGTACTGAACAATCTTCGGCATCTTTTTGATGGAAAACATCTGGCTCACAGTCGCAACAGGAAATGTTGTCGCTGAGAGAAGCATTTTCCTCTGTTTCGTTTTGTTCAAGTTCTAGGCAGCATCCAGTAGATTTTCCAGCCATCCTTGGTGCATCATTTGATGAAGATTTCAGTACATCAGAGTCCTGTCTATTGATAATTCTGGTTTCTGAAGGCAGTTCTGGCCAACACTTCTCGGTGGGAGTAGAAGCAGCACTTTGATTTTCTAAATGGTGGTGGTCTTGACAATTCTTTGAAAGATGTCTAACAGTCTGGGGAACAGATTCCTTTCCAGCAATGTGGGAATCATCTGAGCTATCCATAAATGCTTTACACTGACAATGCTCACTCTCTGAAATCTTTTTCCCAGTTGAACCAAGATTTTCTGATTCTTTTGAAATTCCATTCAGTTTGTCCTTCTGCCTTTCTGGAGTACTTTCAACATTGCCATTTTCCATGTCAGCCACATATGGATCTTTATTAACTTTGAAAATATTTTTCTTATTTTCCCCCTTTGTCCCTAACTCACGAGTATGGGATAAATTCTTACCATTTCCGTTATTTTCAGAGAGATGTTTTATGGAGCCATTTAGGAGGGCCTCAATGTTCAGGGTATCGGAGGAATTGGTCATCTCACTACTACTTATATCCTTACAGCCCTTTATTTCATCACTGAGATTACACCTTCTCTTATCTCTTGTCAAGGAATATTTTGGTCTAATCCAGGTCTGCAGTTCATTCTTTATATAGTCCAGCCCTGACATCAAGTTGCATTCTTCATAAATTTCATCGTCTGTTGCAATGCTGGAGTCATCATCCTCATCTTTGATGCACAGCTCTTCTTCTGTCAAGGTGAGGGTAGAGCTGGAGAGGAGGTCACTGTCATCTTCATCATCAGTGCAAGCAGAGGTGCAAGAGACATTAACGATCATGCTAACATTGACATCACTTTCATCAGCCACTGAACGAGTCAGGCGCTTCCTGAATGATGCATTTGATTCCGGGATCTTGTTTTTGTGTAACACAATATCCTCTGAGCAAAGAGAGAGCTCATCACTGCTGCTAAGTTCTGTAAGAGATGCTGGCGAGTCTTCATTGATAGAAGATGCTATGTCCAATGACAGCTGGCCAGTAAAAGACATCTTTTGGGAAGTGCTTTGGAGAGTGATATCGGAAACACTTCGCTTTATCTTTTGCTCTGAGGGGCTCTGGATGTTCTCTAAACGATTCAGAAGATCTAATGTCCTTTTACTCAGTTCACCGACTGAGCCACTGCTCACACTTATGTCCCCAGAGCTGTGACAGCTAAAAAGATCTTCATTGCTTTTATAGGATGTCAACCAACTTTCTAAAGAAGTGCTTCGCTGGAGGCTGTCACTGCCATTTTTAAAGATGCCCAATCCAAATAAATCACCCCCTGGAGAAAGGGACTCCACAGACGAACTGTGAGATAAAAGAGAGAGCCGTTTGGCATTCTGCATGCCAGGGAGTGTCTTCTCTACATCGCCACTTTTATATGAATTGCGATCCATTTCATGGGAGGCACTTCCCAAAATCCTTTCATGGGGAGGTGCATCTGGTTGTAACTCTGTAGCCTGATGTTTAGATTTGCAGGATTTTTTATCAAAATAAAAACCATGAAGCAGGGGATCCTGTACATGTGATTTTTCACTTTGTGACTGTTTCATTATCATTGGTAATTTGAGTTTTGAGCCTTGAAGGTATGAGTAATCATAAAATGTAAACACATCATGTTTTCCTTGTAATTCTTCTCCTAAACAATCAGGGGTATGTTTGGTAACACTGTTTAAATCTCCACCTTTTCCATTTACACAACCCACTGGTGAAATGGATGACTGAGAGCTATTTGGAAGTTTAATGCATTCCTCCTCATCTTTAAATTTTTGCCTTAACACATTAACTGCATCTTCCATTTGTGGGTCCAGATGTTCAGTTTCAGGGTTACTTGGGGACCCATCCACCACATTGAGCAAGCACATTTCAGAGTTGGTAGTGGTTTCAGTGTCTCCTTCACTGACAATTCCACTCTCACTTCCTGAATTCTGGCTCATGTCTCCTCCGTGGCATGGGCAGGGCTTCACCAAATTGGAACCCCCCAGAAGATCTGGCAAAGATTTGGTAGATGAAAATGAAGAGTCTTTACTGAGACTCTTAGTTAAAACACTAGGCTGTGTCACGCTGGTGAACTTTGGACTGGTCTTCAGGAATGGCATGTGGTTGTCCTCATAGAGTTCGACATTGTGGAGGCTATACACCTGGTAAATGTGTGGACTGGAGGGGGCTGTAATGCTTGAGGCATACTGAGAGCCCCCATGGTCACCTGACTCTTCTTCATAACCAGGTTCCCCACTACCTGTCTTTTCAAGCCTTAAGGAAGGCATGACAGGTTGGGGTTCTTGATCAAGGTCATTTGATTCCTCATTCAAACTAATTAACTTGTTACTTATGTCAGTTTCATCCCATTCCAGGGCATCCTCACTCATCCCATTTAGGTCCATCAAGCCAGGATCAATCACATTCAAAGTCTCCTGTGTAGGAGAATGAAAAAAGAAGAATTAGGGAACACAAGCATGAAAATTTTATCCATTCAAATTTCTTGGAGGAGTCAGGAATGAAATTTGCCCCAAGCATGGATTTGAAAGATAGCATAATTATCAGCTCTTTCCTCTCTGGAATAACATCCAAAATTATTGAAATAGGCTTTTCTATCAATATTAATTCATCACTGAAGGCAACAACATAGATTAAAATGTAAGATTATTACAGTCAAATTGTAATTTGTGGAATTAACCATATCCTACTGATTCTTCTACATTTTTAACCTTGGATTGGGTGAAGATAAAACTGTCAGGTAAATGAAGGTAAAAGAGTACATTCCCTCTGATTCTGTTTTAGTTCTGGAGTCCATAGTGGAATACTATCTGCGACCACATATGTGGAAGGCCCGCTTGCCTCTATTCCTGGGTTGTCCACTTGAAGCACCGTTTGCCTGGGGAAATAGAACAGAGCCATGGCCACCTGTAGAGCCATTCAAGGTCCAGAGGCTCTCACTTGTCTATCCTTTCCTCTGTCTTCCCTGTCAGGGCTCTGCCTTTTCAGAATTTGGCCCTGCTCCCCATCAGACCCAAGGTGAGCAACACTTGTCTGGTTTCCTCACCTCCGTCTTCCTGGACCCTGAATCTCAGCACCCAGTGCTCAAGGGCAGCCCCTTAATCATAGTTCTCTCAGGCCCTCTCTTCCTCAGTCTCTTTCTATGACAGAGATTCCACTTTGATCCTTGTTAACTTGTCTCACTATTGTCGGCCCTGCCCCTATTTCTTATAGGCACCCCCTCCAGCCCCCTTCAGCCTTACAATAACAACTATCTGAAGACTTTCCTGACTCCTGAGGATGAAGCAGCTCAGGTTCTCTTCCGCTGCTCTCTGCCTGCACCTTTGGGACCCTTGATCCTTCCTTGGACTTCCCAGTGTTAGCCCTCTCTAGGTGGAGCTTGACACATTCTGAGACAGAGTTGCTGAATGGGCTCCTGGACTCTGTCCAGATTCCTTCACCATCCTCACTTGCTGTCCGGCTGTCCGGATTCATGCTGGAGCCAAGAGAGGTGATATAGGTACTGCAGGCCCTGAGTGGCTCACCTGCAGACAAAATGCAAACAGAACTTTGCAGTTCAGCTTATGCTTATGCAGGGTAGCCTGGCCAATGAGCATTGCTCTCAAACTCTGCAGAGTGTTGAAATGCTGACTTTGCTGCTTACCAGCTGCGTGGCCTTCAGCAAGTTGCTTAACCTTTCTAAGCACCAGTCTCCTCTCTTGTTAAAGGGGGCTGGTACTATCTATCTTTTCAGATAATTCTGAGCACTAAATGAGCTAATGCTTGTGAAGGGCTGAGGAGGCAGTCAGTATGAGGTAGCTATAATTCTTAATGTGTGTAGAATTGCTCTAGAGTGGCCTCAAGTCAATTCATGAAGGGTTCTCCCTGCCTACCTCATTCCCTCCTTCTCATCATTCCTTTCAATGTGCTTTTAAAACCATAAGGCAGTCATGACACGGTAGGGAGAGAGAGGTGGCACACAGTGTAACAGGTCAGCGTATTCGCATTACCATTCAGAATTATTTTAACAGTCTGGCTGAAAATCAGGCCATGATGCTTTTATTCCTCAGTACTGGGAAAAAGGCTTTACCAGCAGCACATTAGCAGAACTTTCCTGAGTAGCCCTCAATCCTTCCTGAAACTAATAGTTCAAGGATGCCACACAAACATATTAAGTATAAAATACCCATTAGCACTTTATTATACTGGATATGTAAGGGATTATCTGTATGGCCTACTTAAGTTTAAAAGAGTCCAGTTACAAAGTAAACATTAATTAAGGGATATTTTTAAATTTTCTAACAGAAATCTTTCCTGCTGCCAATGCCACACAGTTAATCTAGTGTACCAGCAGTCACTGCACTCGCTTAGGTATGGAGTACATTCACTGTGATGAATTTTTATGAGAATTTCTGTTTATTCTTTGCTTGCTGATAAAGGAAGTACTAATGACCAGTTACTATGGCTAATGAATGTTAAAACCTTTAGCTGTAGGAACAATCAATCAGTCTAATCAAATAGTATATTAATTTCAAATACTATCTTGGCTGACACTGTACTCTGAGAGTGCTAATAAATAATTGAACTAGTCTTTCAAAGGAGCTCTCTTTGTAACTCTCTGGTTGACTTTAACATTTAGCAGCACAGATTCTCCCTGAGAGTCCCACCCCTGGGGGCTGACACTAGGCACAGGAATTGTGCCGTCTGGATGTGTGCTGGGAGCTTAGCCCAAGTGACACCTGTAAATGGGACTCATCTTCCATGATGCAATCATTTTCTGACCAAATGCTGCCTTTACGCTTTACAAACACAGGCCTGAAAAAGAATAAAACTTACAGCAGCACCTAAAAGAACAAATCTCTGCTCAATAAAGTAGTTGGAGTGGAAAATTTCCGTAGGAAAAGACTAAACCTTTGGATGTGATATTGTCTTTTTCCCATCTTAATTCTCTCCTCCTAGAAATTTCTTAAATTTATTGCAATTTTGGAAAGATTTTTGTACATCCACTCTAGGGAATATCTGACAAGATCCATTAGAAAATCACTCACATTAGACTTTAAATTTTACATATTAAAGATGGTCTACTCACTCTGCCCTCATTCACTTCCTTCTGTTGTGGATTAAATTCTGTCAATATTTTCAATAAAATCTCCATTTCCTCAAGATTTAACCTCAAACATAATACTTACCCTGGGGGCAAGAAAGGGGGAAAGTTTCCAAGAGGAAGGACATTAGAATATTTATATAACTAAAAAGTTGTCTTTGAAAAAAAAGATGTGTGCAGAGGGATGTAACTGGCGGGAAAATTATTTAGTCTAATGCTCTTTTTGACGATAGCCCAACATAGCCAATAAGGCTCAAGATAATTAAGCATTTTTGCATATTGTTTTTTTTGGAAAAGTGGTCTTTTTTAAAAAAGGCACAAATGTTCCTGTCTTTGATAAAATGACAAATCAAAAATGGATTTAGACAGGGGCTGGCCCCGTGGCCGAGTGGTTAAGTTCGCGCGCTTCGCTGCAGGCGGCCCAGTGTTTCGTTAGTTCGAATCCTGGGCGCGGACATGGCACTGCTCATCAGACCACGCTGAGGCAGCGTCCCACATGCCACAACTAGAAGAACCCACAACGAAGAATACACAACTATGTACCGGGGGGCTTTGGGGAGAAAATGGAAAAAATAAAATCTTTAAAAAAAAAAAAAAAAAGTTAAAAAAAAAAAATGGATTTAGACAAAATCTAAGAATATCTGACTGAAACCAAAAGGATAATGAGTAGTGCATGAAGTTCCAGTAGACAGTCTGCAATTCCAGTGATAATCCTAAATTAAATTAATTTCTACAAGGGTCTTTCCTTCATAACTTTGCTTCATTGGTACAGAATTTTGGCCTAAACCAATGGCTCTGTATAAATAATTATACATACACATGCACATATCTTTACAGATCTGCTCAAGAAACAAGTGGAATTAATTGGTGCTAATTTATTTTTATTTTTGGAAGCAGGTTATTTATATTAGCACAATATATACAGAGAAAGTAATTAAAAGTGGCTGAAGAAATGATGATGATGATGATGATGATCAAAGAACCAAGATTCCAACTGCAGCAAGTAATACATATTTAAATTTTAACTTCCTTCTGTACTTGCATGGCGTTAATTGAGTTAGGTCTCCCAAGATTGCATTTCTGGGATTTTCTTAAAATTTTAGGTTAAATGGTGGGTTTTTTTTAAGAGACGAAAAACATTATCAGCTAAAGAGCAGAGATGAAGGAGCCTGACATTCTATAAAACAACAACCCAACAGAGATCTGATATGGTTACCTCTGGGTTCCTTTAATTTCCTTTAAAAAGTTTTATCTTTTGAAAAAGTAAAGAATATCAAAAAGACCAGAGTGAACTGAATGTTCTAGTCAAACTTCTGGTGCCCAGAGTGGGCAAAACCATCACGAGGTCTTGCAATTTGTGTTTCCTCTGTTCATTCTAGATCAGGAGTGTATTGAGCAGTCCCACCTGCAAAGGCCCAGGAGGGGAGACATCTGTAGAAAAAGTAGAATACAACAAAAACATACAAAGAAACAAAAATGACAAAAACATAAACAGCATGACTGTAATTGAACAAAGATACGCATATTTACCCTAGGGCAAAAAACAGACCTCATGAAAGTTTGAGGGCAGCGATGGACAGGAGACAGAAAATAATATACAGATGTGGGGGGGGGGGGATCAATTTAAACTAGGGGGACATTCGAACCGTCATATATGCTCACTCCATTTTTTTTGATAGCACCGCCATCCAGTTCTAACACCAAAGTGTCTGAGCATTAGATAGATGCATAATTATCTTCCTAAATTAGACTTAGGTAGAAATTTTTTAAAAACAACCATAACAAACAGCTAGTCCTCAGAAAATGAAAAGACAGCTTTTCTGAGAACTCAGAGTCTGTAGCACTCTGCCTCTTGCTGGGAAGAGAATAGATTCAGAGTTAGCAAGGAAAAATATTGATGAAAAAAGATACAGGAAAACAAGCAAAAAGGTTTACTGTTTATCAACCATTTCGGGATTTGGGGCAGAAACTCAAACAGATCTGGGTTTGAATCCTGGATCCCCTGTCTCACACGTTAGCCTTGTGGTCCTGGACCAGTTACTTAACATCTCTATGCCTTAGTTCCAGCACTTGCATATTCAAGATAATCACAGCACATGGTGTGCACCTTAGAGGTTGCTGGGAGCTTTAAGTGAGAAAATGTATGTAAAGTCCTATGAGGAGGGCCTGACACACAGCAGGGGAACAACGACTGGCAGCTATCAGCATATATTCCCTGTGCTGAAGTGAGAGGAGGACAGGACGGCTGGGCATTAAATAACCAGAACAGTGTTGGCATTAAGACTGGTGATTGGTGCCTAATCTCTTTAGAACAACTACATGCATGGAATACAA